TGATCACGTGACCGTGGAGGATGCTGCAACGGTCGTAACTGTGAAAACAGTCCTAAGTCCGTTTTTCAGAGAGTCACTAAACGAACTCTTGAGGACTGCCTGTATTTCAAAGGGCAGGCCAGTGTTTTAATAATGGCAATAAATAAACTAACTTAAATGTGTGGCTTAAATAAACCAGCTAATGTTCTTCTTCCCCCCCCCCACCCCGTTTATTTTTTTCCCTTTTGCAAAAATCTCCGTAGAAATTTTAGCTCCAAAGTCAAAAGGAGTCAAAGTTGCAACGATACGCTGGGCAATCGATCGAAAAGCAGGCAGAGATCGGCGCCCGTCAGAACAAAGGTACCGGATCTTTGCGATACGTGGGGAAAGCCATTGTTGTCTTTAAAAAAATAATTAAATCTTGAGTTTTCCTCTAAAAGAGATTCTTAAGATTCCTCTAAAAGAGATTCCATGTACACTAGCCGTGTACCTGGAGACCATGGTGGAGCCTGTCCGTTATTGTTTTATGTTGGGGGGTCTTCAAACTTGACCCTTTGGTGACTTGTGGACGTCAACTCCCAGAATTCCTCAGCCAGGCATGCTGGCTGAGGAATTCTGGGAGTTGAAAGGTCCACAAGTCATCAAAGGGCCAAGTTTGGAAGACCCCACGGACTTCAACTCCCAGAATTCCTCACCAGGGCACCCTGATGCGGAATTCTGGGTTGAAGTCACAAGTCATCAAAGGGCAAGTTCGGAGACCCCCAGAATCAACTCCCAGAATTCCTCAGCCGGGCACTGCTGAGAATTTGGGGTTGAACTCCACACGTCATCAAAGGGCCAAGTTTGAAGTCCCCGCAGACATTCAAATCCAGAATTCCTCAGCCAGGCCCATTGCTGGCTGAGGAATTTGGGAGTGAATGTCCACAAGTCATCAAAGGCCAGTTGGAAGACCCCCCAGACTTCAACTCCAGATCCTCATCCGGGCACCCGGTGAGATATTGGAGTGAAGTCCACTAAAGTCATCAAAAGGGCCAAAGTTGGGAAGACCCCCCAGACTTCAATCACCAGAATTCGCTCAGCCGGGCCACCCGGACTGAGGAAATTCTGGGAGTTGAACTCCACAAGGTCATCAAGGGCCATTTTGAAGATCCCCGCGAATTCAAACTCCAGCATTCATCAGCCAGGCATGCTGGCTGAGGAATTCTGGGAGTTGAAGTCCACAAGTCATCAAAGGGCCAAGTTGGAAGACCCCCAGACTTCAACTCCCAGAATTCCTCATCCGGGCACCCTGGCTGAGGAATTCTGGGAGTTGAAGTCCACAAGTCATCAAAGGGGCCAAGTTGGAAGACCCCCGTTCTATGTCATAAAGGTTGTAAAATAGATCAGTCACCTGGCCGATCTAACTTTATGACCCTTTTTGCAGTAACTATAAACCAACAAATTCGTTATAGTTTGGATTTTAGTGAAAACTGGAAGTAAAGTCAAATTTGGCCCCAAACTGGAAATAAGTAGAATGCAGTCACACGCCTGTAAATCAATGACTACTTGTCATTAATTATTTGATTTTTAATTTTGTGGGAAAGGTGACCAGAATCAACGCTGGTTCCCCCTCTGCTCTGTCCTCTGTTGTTCTGAATTTATCTCCCGTTTTGTGTCCCAAAGGTGCTTTTTTTTCAGGCAACTGGACTTCCTCGTTATTATTTGAAGACATTTCTCTTCTCATCCCAGAAGCTTCTTCAGCTCTGACTGGATGGTGGAGGAACGGAAGGATTTATACTCCTTGCAGACAGCCGGTCATTTGCATCCTTTTAGAGAGTCGTTGAGGCCACTTGGAGGTTTGCCTGGGTCCTCAGGGTCACCTGAGCGGTGCGAATGGGTGTGGAACACCGTCCTTTCAGCAGTTCCAAGAAGGCTCCACGCCCATTTGCACCACTCAGGTGACCCTGAGGACACAGACAAGCGTCCAAGTGGCCTCAACGCCCCTCTAAAAGGATGCAAATGACCAGTTTTTCTGCAAATAATATAAATCCTTCCGTTTCCCACCATCCAGTCTGACCCGAAGAAGCTTCTTGCATCAGAAGCGAAACGTCTTCAAGGAAAAACAAGGAAGTCCAGTTGCCTCTTGAAAAAGCACTAATAATAATAATAATGATAGTAGTAAAGTTGGAAGGGACCTTGGAGGTCATCTAGTCCAACCCCCTGCTCAGGCAGAAAACCCTACACCATTTCGGACAAGTGGCTGTCCAGTCTCTTCTTAAAAACTTCCAGTGTTGGAGCATTCACCGCTTTTGGAGGCAGGTGGTTCCACTGGTTAATTGTCCTCACTGTCAGGAAGTTTCTCCTTAGTTCCAGGTTGCTTCTCTCCTGGATGAGTTTCCACACGTTGCTTCTTGTCCTGCCTTCAGGCGCTTTGGAGAATAGCTTGACTCCCTCTTCTTTGGGGCAGCCCCTGAGATACTGGAAGGCTGCTATCCTGTCCCCCCTTGTCCTTCTCTTCGTTAAACTAGACCTACCCAATACTAGCAACCGTTCCTTGTTTTAGCCTCCAGTCACCTAATCCTCTTTGTTGCTCTTCTCGGTACTCTTTCTAGACCAGCGGTTCTCCACCTGTGGGTCGGGACCCCATTTGGGGTCGAACGACCATTTCACGGGGGTCGCCAAACAAGGCTGTCCGCCATTTTTCCCCCCTTTTTTTTGGCCATGCCCCTGGCACCCAGTGATGTATAAGTGGTTGGGGGTCACCACAACATGGGGAACTGTATTATGGGGTCGCGGCATTAGAAAGGTTGAGAACCACTGTTCTAGAGTCTCAACATCTTTTTTACATCGCGGTGACCAAAACTGGATGCCGTATTCCAAGTGTGGCCTCACCAAGGCCTTGTATAGTGGTATTAACACTTCACGTGATCCTGATTCTCTCCCTCTGTTAATGCAGCCCAGCACCTTTGGGACAACCGTGACGTGGAATGACGGAGAATCTCCCTAGACTTCCCTTTTGTAGCGCCACTGCTGACTGAAACGGCTTCTCTTGCAGGTCAACCCTTCCGCTGGTGCTTCGGTTTCCCTGCTGGGCGTCCTCTCCTCCACCCAGAACAACCGCTGCCTCTCTGCTCCGGATCTGACTGCCGAGAAGCGCCTGGTGCTTCCCCCCCAGGCGCCCTCTTCCTTCCCCGTCCTGCCCAGGCAGGAGCGCTCCATCAGCCCCGAGAGCAACGACAGCATCTCGGAGGAGCTGAACCACTTCAAGCCCATCGTCTGCTCGCCTTGCACGCCGCCCAAGCAGCTGCCCGACGGGCGCGTGCTGAGCCCTCTCATCATCAAGTCCACCCCCAGGAACTTGACCAGGAGTCTGCAGAAGCCCACCACGTACGAAGCCAGCCCGTGGATCCTGAAGAAGTGGGAGCGGATCCTCCAGGATCGTCAGGTCAAGAAGACCCTCTGCAAGGCCACCTTGACCTCCTCGGCTCCCGAGCCGGGCGAACCTCCCAATCTCCCCGTCCCGGTCAAGTGTCCTTTGCCGATGTCCAGCTTGGTCTCGTTGCCGGACTCTCTCCCTCTCCTCTCTGTAGCCAGGTGCGACCGTTCCGCCAACGGTCGGAGAGACTCGGAGGCGACGGAGCTGACTCCCCACGTCCTCCCGCCAAGAGCCGCCGAGAAGCCTCCCAATTCCGGGATTTCCGAGCCCCCCAAAGCGAAAACTGCTCCCCGCCTGGCCGGGCCCTGCCTTCACTACGATGCCAAAACTTCAATGGCCCGGAAAGTCGTCCGAGTCAACTCGGCCTTGGAGAACGGCTCCCTTACGGCCGAACGGAAGCCACGCCGCTACTGGGACGAGAGCGAACTGCGCCGTCTCTCCAACGGCCTCCGTCTCGAGAGGGGGCTGGGCGAGGAGACCCCCTCCCTGCGGCGCGGGCAGAAGCGGCCGTGCAAAACCAAGCACCTGGACCCTTCGGTCAAGCGGCTGAGGCCGTCGGCCGCCTGTCGCAAAGGCCCTCCGGTCTCCGACTCGCGGCGACAGAAGCGGCAACGGCCGCCGAGCAGGACGGAGCAGAGACTGCAACAGGAGGAGGCCGACCGGCGGCTGGCCGTGCAGCTCCAGCGGCAGTTTGAGAGGGAGAGGCGGACACTGGAGCGGCCGAAGGGGCGAGCCGAACAGTATTTCTTACGCTCCAAGAACGTCACCGGAGCAAAGTAGCCCTTCGTCAGCTACGCGACTTTTCCGAGAGTCCTGGGTAGACGTCGGCTGGTTCAGGCCGGCGGAATCGTGGAGACCAGGAGTTCTCTCCGGTCGGTGCGGGAGACAGACGGAGGCCACGATCCAGAGCCTTCCTCCCCCGAGATGACTCCGAGATTATAAATCTCGCTTGCAGCGAAGGCCGTTTCGGATCTCGGATGGCCGGTCCGGTTCGTCCTGCCTCGAGATCCGAGTCGGTTACGGTAACGGGCGAACCGACGCTGCGAGCGGCGTTTGTCGTTTCAGGAGCAGCCAGGCTAGAAGGCCCGGTGGTAGAAGTGGTGATTTTGCCGCCCAAAAAATCTATTTAAATCTATAATACAGGTAGTCCTCGACTTATAACCGTTCGTTTAGTGACTGCTCAAAGTTACAACCTCACGGAAAAAAGCGAGCTGCGGCCGTTTTCGCCACAATCGTTGCGGCCTGCCCAATGCTTGGGAGCTGACTCGCATTTACGACGGTTGCGGTGTCCCAGGGTTACGCGATCCCTTTTTGTGTCCTGGCCAGCAAAGTCAATGGGGGGATTCCCTTAACCGTGTCACTAACTGAAGAACTGCGGTGAAGGTGGTAAAGTAGGTCAAAATTCACGGCAGCACTGTCTCACTTAGCAACAGAAATTTTGGACGCCATTGCCGTCGTAAGTCGAGAACTATATGATGAACTCATCGGAGGAAAGAAAGGGCACTTGCTTGCTTTGAGTCCAAGCTAAGCATCAGGGGCCAGAGAGAACTTTTGGCTGCCTGGGGAGGGGGTATTTCCCCCCCGCCCCTCCTTGGCTCTCCAGCCCCATCCGTTCTTGGTGTGGGGTTGTGTTGCAGCAGTGTCCAAACGCACACCCTGCTCTGGGGCAGGCAGAGCGCAAAACGCAGGGCGCCCGTCGCTCTGTCTGACCAATATCTACGATGGGGCCTCTCCACAGCCAGGTGAAACATCTGGATTCGAAGCCGCCAGGCTAGGATTCCCATCTCGGTTTATTTTACTTTTTGTGGGTAGCCCAGATTTACACACAAAACGTCTGGCGCAAGAATGAGATGGTTGCAGAGTCCTCCGAAATGACTTTTGGTATTCGGGGGTGGGGTGTGTGTGTGTGTGTGTGTGTGTGTGTGTTCGTTTCGACAGAATTGTGTTCCTCCCCGATGCTGGTTTGCAGGATCTTGAGAAATGCTGGTTTTCTGGCGTCGGGAGAACCCGGTTCCGTTTTGTGGCTTGACCCAAACCCAAGACTTCTTTAAAAAAAAAAAAAGAAAGAAAGAAAGAAAGAAAGAAAGAAAGAAAGAAAGAAAGAAAGAAAGAAAGAAAGAAAGAAAGAAAGAAAGTCTGCAGGAGTTTTGAGTGGCAGGTTCGATTCCCGCTCGCTCTTGTTAAAAAAAGGGGGGGGCTGTGGGGGGCAGTTTTTCTCCCCCCCCCAGCACTTCCAAGGCCGCAGCTTTGGCTGACCCACGTGGTGGTTTGAAGCTCTTGGTGGCTAAACTTAAGTTTAAAGTTTAGAATTTAAATTAATCCTGGGAAAGTAGACACACACACACACACACACACACACACACACACACACACACACACCAAAAAAAAAAAAAAAAGCTTTTTCCTCAATCACGCAATCCCCCTCCCCCCCCGTCCGTCTGGTGCAGCATTTCTCCGCTTTGAGAATTTTAAAATCCAGACGTGTGGACTTCAACTCCCAGAATTCCCCAGCCGGCCTGAATTCTGGGAGTTGGAAGTCTACCCAAGCTGGGGCAGGTATTTGGGAGTTGGGTGGCGTTTCACCCTCCTAGCTGGGGGCATGCTGGGGGTTAAAGTTCACTCCTGCTGGGGCATGCTGGGAGTTGAAGTCCACAACTTAAATGGGCCAAGGGTCTTGACACCCAGAGTTCCCCAGCCAGCATGGCTGGACTTCAGCTTCCAGAATGCCCAGCCAGCAAGCAGGCAGGCAGGGGGATTCTGGGAGTAGAAGTCCAGATTTTTTTTTTTTTTTAAAGTCCCTGAGCTGGGAAAGGCAACTTTAGAGACTGACTTTGCTCTTCCGTTGCGAAGCCCCCCCCCCCCATTCAAGATCCTCCTTCCCAGTAATAAACTGCCTTTCGTTGCGTCCGTTCTTCGTTTGGCCTGGCTTTTGATTTGGATTGAAAGCCTTTGTTTCTTTTCTTTCTTTCTTTCTTTCTTTCTTTCTTTCTTTCTTTCTTTCTTTCTTTCTTTCTTTCTTTCTTTCTCCTTTCTTTCTTTCTTTCTTTCTTTTTCTTTCTCTTTTTCTTTCCTTCCTTCCTCTTTTCTTTCTTTCCTTCCTTCCTTTCTCTTCTTTTTCTTCCTCTTTTTTCTTTTTCTCTTTCCTTCCTCCCTCCCTCCTTCCTTCCTCTTTCTTTTTCTTCCTTTTCCTCCCTCCCTCCTTTCTTTCTTCCTTTCTATTTTTCTGTCTTCTTTCCTTCCTTCCTCTTTCTCTTTCTCTTTTCCTCCTTTCCTTCCTTTTCCTTCCTTTCTTTTTCTTTGTTTTCCTCCCTCCCTCCTTTCTTTCTTCCTTCCTTTCTCTTTTTCTGTCTTTTTTCCTTCTTTCCTTCCTTCCTCTTTTTCTCTTTCCCTCCTTCCTTTCTTTCTTTCTCCCTTTCTTTTTCTTT